TCTCTTTCTGTCTTTCTTCGGTCCTTTCTTTCTTTCTGACGTGCCTTTCTCTCCGTCCCTAAAACCCAACCAAAACCAGAAAAATAAAATAAAAACACACACACACAGCAATACGTAAACAAAATACCAAAAAAAAACTGTACCCACGCACATCTCAGACCGCAGCCGTCGAAGTCCAGCACCGTCTCGCAGATCTTGGCGCAGCAGACAGAGGCTTGGCTTGAGGTATATCGTATCCGCTCCAGACGGAGGGTCTCTCAAGGCAGTGTAGCTAAGACCCCCAGTTCTCCGCCCATGTAAAAAAAACGACCCGTGAGGTTCTTGCAGGGGCATTAGGCGGCCTTGGCAGCCGCTGCACCCTCCAGCCGGAGCTTCTCCAAGTCTTCGCCCGCTTGCTGGGCACAGAGAACAGATTTTTCGGAGTTTCGGACTTTGCAAAATGCTTGCCCCACGGAGATCTCAGGCTTGTGGGTCTCATCATTTCAAGCCTTCGGAGAGAACAGCACGCTGAGCTCAAGTGCTGGATACGAAACTAACCCAGACCCCCAAACTCCCAAAGCCTGCAGCCCTCAAGCCTAAAGCCCCCACACTCCAAAACATCCGGAAAGCCTAAAGCCTGGAAAACCCAACATGCGCGGAGGCGAAGGGAAAGCCCAGACCAAAAGCAAGCCACCGCGACTCACCGGGGAACCGAAAGCCCGAAAGTTCCGGGACTGGCGGATCAACACAGGCATTCATTCATAGGTTGGGTAAGTAAGCAAGCAAGCAAGCAAGCAAGCAAGTAAGTAAGCAAGCAAGTAAAGAAGTACACATATACATATATATGTACACACATACATACATACATACATACATACATACATACATCCATGCATGCATGCATGCATACATACATACATACATACATACATACATACATACATACACACATGCATACACATGTTTGTGTGCGTTCATGAGCTTATGCATATGTACGCAGACAGATGTGTAATATGGTACCTGCTTTCTAGGTGCTGCTTCACCCATTGACTGACAAGCCTCCACCCCAAACCCGAGCAGCTCATGCAAATTTCAATGCGAGTCGGTGTGGCACTAACCAACTGCAGCGCCACGTAACCTTGCAACTTGCAACTTAGGGTTTGGCTCCGCTTGAGAAACCCGGTCGATGGAGACTTGAGGATTCATAACGGCGGTAAAAGAAACCTGTCCTGGCACAGTGTGGAGGGTTTGGCTTTTCCGGTTCAGGCTTTAGGGGATAATAAGTAGTGAGTGCTTGATTGGATGCCAATCCCAAACCCCGTGGTCATTAATAATTAGAGCATCCCGGACGACATGGAGTCTCCATGATGGAGATCGAGCCCCTCAGCCATCAAATTACACCCAGAACACGAGCTTCAGAAAGCAAGGTCCATACAACCAGGAACCCCAAATCTGACACGGAAACCTGCAACGTAACCGCAACGAAACCCCAAAAGCGCGGCCCAAAAGCGCTGCTCCCGCTCCGTCATTTGCCGAGAGAGCCTGGCCGAGACCCAAAGTTGGACCAAAAGCTTCGCTTCAGGAAAATCGGCTCTCGACTTTAGGGCGGCTCGACTCGGGCGGCTTCGCAATCAGGGTTTGTTTTGGGATGCTGCGATGCCTGTGTCTTAAAGGCACGGAGGGGCCGAATCGCGTTGAAGCAGTTGCCACGTTGGCTTTAATGATTTTGTCTTCGAAACACTCGATTTTTTAAAGTCCTGGCGGAGCTAGGCTATTTAGCCGATGCCTTCAAAACTGACAACGCTCAACGCCCGAGATATCCTAGCCGGTCGTTTAATCCCGCCAGTATGTGAAGTTGATCATGCCTCCTAAACCGTCTAAACAGATAGCAAACTAGAGCTCTAACCCCAAGTCCTGAAAATACACCCTTCCGTTATGGAGTTCTAAGGCCGTCACGGCTTGCAAGGTTTTGGGTTTAAGGACTTCTAGCATTGTAGGGTTTATGGTTTAGGATTCTCCACTGCAGGCGCACGTGGCCATGAAACTTTGAGGAAGCTTCGATTTATCCTTGACCCAGCATTTTGAAGTCTTAGGACTGGAATGCACAGGGATCTTTGAGGGCAGTAAGCCTTGCTAAGCTTTGAATCTTGAGTGTTGAGGGGCAGAAGGAAAGAGAAAGAGACTGAGCTTTTGGGCACCGGGCCTCTGGTTCTTGGTTTTTGAGACCTGTCGCAAGGCCTGTATAATTCCAAGAAAGTGAAAGTACATGTCATTGAACCACCCCGAATAGCTGATCTCGAAAGATCCTGAACCCGCAGCGAGACCAACACCTTTCAACACTGAACCTCGACCAAACAACAACAACAACAACAACAACAACAACAACAACAACAACACCAACACCAACACCAACACCAACAACAACACCAACACCAACACCAACACCAACACCAACACCAACACCCACACCCACA